GCCTCCAGGCTCACGGGAGACAGAGATTGATGGCGCACATCAAAGGCGGAGGAGACACTTCTAAGAGGTTTGAAAGAACTGCTGCTACTTGTCTGTATAACTACTATTGTACCTTTCAAGGGAATTATATGATGTTTAAATACAATAAATGAAGTTTCCAGAAATAGATATAAATGCTGTGGAAAAATGCTAGCATAGCTTAAATTTGAATTGCCTGAAAGAAGTAGGGATAAGATTCAAAGCCTTAGAACCATTTTGTAAAATAGTTAATGTGTACTTATATTTTATGGAAATCTTTTATTGACTTCTTTGTCTGTCTCATATAGTAATAAATGTTTGCAGAAGTAGGGAAGGCAAAAGAAAAAAGACAGGAAGGTAGTTGAATACAGGGACTGGCTGGTACAACTATAGACTTAATTTTTATTTTTAAATACTGTCAGTCCCGTGTGCCCACTGTGCATTTTCTCCCAGTGGTAACATCTTCTTCCATAACTACAGGCCAATCCCGTTTGTCTTCTTCTGGTGTCATGGAAAACCTTATTGCTATTCAATAAAGTTTATTGAATGAATGTGTTTGTATATAGAAAAGAGTGTAAATTATTTGTTGATTTAGTAGATTACTCTCTTATTTTATTTTACTCTTTTGAGTAGGTAATAAGTGTATGCACAGGGGAGCAAAATTCAAACAGGTCTTAGTCATACAGGGAAAACCGTTTATGTATTTATTCTTTTTTTTTTTCTGGTTTGGTTTGATTTGGTTTGGTTGACACAAGGTTTCTCTGTGTAGTCCTGGCTATCCAGGAACTCACCTTGTAGACCAAGTTGGCCTTGAATTCACAGAGATTGGCCTGCCTCTACCTTCTGAGTGCTTGGATTAAAGGTGTGTACCACCATACCCAGCTATTTTTTTTTATTTTTAAAGATGTATTGGGTCTGGAAAAATGTCTAAGTGGCTAAGAGAGTATACTATACCTGCAGAGGCCCCAAGTTCTATTCCCAGTACCCATGTTGTATGGCTCACTACTGCCTGTACATCCAGCTCCTGGGACTTTTCTTGCCTCCAAGGGTGCATGCATACACACACACACACACACACACACACACACACACACACACGTATATTATATCTAATTTTTAAAAAAATGTGCTTTTAAAAATATTTGCCTATTGTTTAGGTGTAGGTGTTTTGCCTACATGTAGTTCTATTCATCAAGTATCTGTCTGATGCCAAGGTAAGAAGAGGGTGTTGGATCCGCAGGAAATGGAATTAGGGATGTTTATGAGCCACCATGTGGGCACTGGGAACTGAACCTGGATCCTCTTCAAGAGTAACAGGTGCTCCTAATTGCTGAACTAACTCTCTAACCCCCATCTATTTCTTATACTGCCTTCCATTCAAACATCCATGTATCTATTTCCCCATCCATGTCCTTTTCTGTCATAGCATCTTTTTTCTTAGTATATTTTGCAATAAAATCAAATACATATATATTGCACATACAAGGATGTGCATATATACATACTTTCTCTTACTTATTAGTATGTTTGAAATAATTCCACACACGTTCATAGGATTTCTTTAAAATTTTGAGTTAGCATACAAAGTAACAAGTTTATGTAATTTTCATACGTGTCTTTGTGCTTTGATTTTTTTTTCTTTTTGTTTTTTTGAGACAGGGTTTCCCTGTGGCTTTGGAGCCTGTCCTGGAACTAGCTCTTGTAGACCAGGCTGGTTTCGAACTCACAGAGATCTGCCTGCCTCTGCCTCCTGAGTGCTGAGATTAAAGGTGAGTGCTACCACCTCCTTGCTAAAAACCAGTTATTTTTCATCCATTTATTTATTTGTATGTGTGGTGGTCAAAGGACAACTTGTGAGAGTTGTTTGTCTCTCTCCACCATGTGGGTCCTGGGGAACAAACTTAGCTCATCAGGCTTGCCAGTAAGTGCCTCTACCCCCAGAGTCATCTCACTGGCCCTAAAACTAGTTTCTTTTCTGACCCTTGCCTGTGTTGTCATTGTCATTGAAGTTTTTGAGAAAAGTATGGTTGTTCTTTTCCATACTCAGAATTTATTTTGGTCTCATGAAATCCACTGCTCCTAAGATAGCTGTTGACAAGCTGCCTTCAGTGTCTGAAGAATGGAAGATGTATGTGTCGATGAGCTTATCCCTCAGTCATTTAGTCATTAATTCATGAAACAAATATTTATTGAGCACCTACTTTGGGCCAGTCAGCTTCTGCCTAGGTAAGACAAAGGTCCTTGCCATTATAGCTTTTCTTTCTGTGACATGTGTGTATGGAAGCACAGAGGATAGACAAAAATAAATAACCATATTGTTGGGTGATAAATGCCATGGGGTTGGAAGAAGCACATTAAGGGAGGTTGGGAGTAGGGAAAACACTGCAGTTTACATAGAATAGTTTGGGTAGGCCTTTAGTGAGGATATGGGATTTGAACTGAGACTTCAAAGAGCACAAGGTAAGTTTTTGTTTGTTTTTTTGAGACAGGGTTTCTCTGTGACTTTGGAGCCTGTCCTGGAACTTGCTCTGTAGACCAGGCTGGACTCAAACTCACAGAGATCCTCCTGCCTCTGCCTCCCAAGTGCTGGGATTAAAGGCATGTGCCACGAACGCCAGGCAAGCACAAGATACTTTACATAGTGTTTTATCTGTTTATACTTGATGAAAAGATCACTGAGAGCTGATTTTTTTCATAAAGAGATTTATTTTATTGTAATGTGTCTGGTGTTTAATCTGCATGTGTGTCTGTGCAACACAAGCATGTAGGGTCCTTAGAACCAGAAGAGGGTGCTGGATTTCCCTACAGAGGGCTATGAGCCACCATGTGGGTGCTGAGAACCAAACTTAAGTCTTCTGCAAGAGCAACAAATGCTTTTAACCACTGAGACATCTCTACTAATGGCTGAATTAAAATATTTTGAAAATAATTTTTATCTCTGTGTGTGAGAGAGAAAATGTATGCCACATCTGTACAGAAGAGAGGGTCAGATCCCCTGAAGATGTCAAGGTCGATTGTGAGCTGCCTGACATGGGTTCTGGAACAAAACCTGGCTCCTCTCTTAGCCATCTCTCCTGCCTCAAGGCTTCATTTTGTTTGTTTGAGAAAGGGTCTTACTACATAGCCCTGGCTGGCACGAAACACACTCTGTAGACCAGGCTGTCCTTGAACTCATAGCTCTATCTGCCTCTGCTTCCCCAGTGTTGAGATTGAAGGAGAACACCCCCACATCAAGCATGCTAAAGCTTAATTAAAATTTAACAGCTGCATTGAGTGAGATGTAATTCACACACTATAAAATTCACCCTGTGTAAAGGTACAATTTGGTGGGTTTCAGATATTTACAAATAATATAATCATTATCATTATCTAATTCCAGAATATTTTCATTAACCTTAAGAGAAATCCATCAGCAGTCACACTACCCAATCCTACTTCCAGCTCAGCGTCTGGCAACCACTAACCTTGCCATTTCTCCAGATTCTTGGCATTTCATACAGATCAAACATATGCTTCACTTGGTATGGTTTTGTGTTTCATCCATTCAATATTCAGTATTTCATTGCCTGGTATGATCCCATTGTAGCCTCAATTTAGTCATTTACGATGCAATTGAAGATTGAAACTTATCTTAAAAAAATAAGATTCCATTGTATGGCTGGACCACATTTGCTTCTTCATTTTCATCAGTTGATGATGACCTCATACTTTTTAAGTATTACGAAGTCATGCATGGGCTGTAGTAATTGTCCTCCCCCTAAAGACCGTGTTGTGCCTTGGTGGGTGAAGTCAGAATCCTTGGAACTGACAGTGCTCCCAGATGCTCTGATTAAACTTGTCTTGGGGAAACTAATGTTCTCTTGCTTTGTTAGGGCCTTTTGTGCCAAAGCTTTGGGTGGTCCAAATATAGTAACACAGTTCTGTGAATTTCTTTTCAATTGTATTTTCTATTCCACATTTTGGCAAAACATTCCTTTTCAGTTTAAACTGTAACCTCGTTGAGTTGATTACTCAATGAAACTCTCAATGACTTTTCTTTTTGTCTTAATATTTTGGGTGTGGTAGCAAGTAGAAGCAGATCACCCTAACCAAATATTTGCAGATATTTAAACAAAGCCATTCAGGTCAGGGAGGGAAGATGGACTGAGGAAGCAGAAATTGAATGTGGCTTTTAAAAGAGGGTTTTGGTTCTCAGAGACTTGCTGAGGAAGGAAAAAGCCTGTTCCAAAAAGGGGAAAGGAATTAAAAGTTTATCTTCTGGGTGACTGGGAACGTCTGGGCTCGGAGCACGTGTCTTTGGTATGTTTGGCAGCCAACAGTCTGTGCATTAAGTGTGTTGGACTCTTCCGCCCTTCTGCACATAGTGAGATTCAAACGTTTCAGAACTTTTGAAGGGGGTGTTAGAGATCGTCTCCAGGGCTGCAGAAAGATGCACTCCATTAGAATTCAGATAACTTCTTCAAGTTCTCTGCCACCTGTCCTCACTCCTTTAGTTGAGGGTAACTGTCTAAGCGACACCCACGCAAGAACTGGACATGTCCTGGCGGGTTGCAAACCGCCCTTGACCGCCAGGCTTTTCGCGTTCCACGGAGGTGGTGGGTGCGAGCACCCAGTGCGGGTAGCTCACAGTGTCGGAACTGTGGATGATGCATCCTTCCACGCCCCAAGGGCTCTAACTCCCGCACCACAGCAGGACGCACTAAGGGAACGAATAGCCCGGGCACAGGTTGAGGTCCTTATTCTCAGGTCATTTCAGCAACTGCCAGAAGAAATGTCCGCCGCGGAGGGAGGAGCACAGATGAGGGGGCGGAGCGAGGACGAAGGGGCGTTACCGAAAAGACGGCCAGGGCGGAGCGAAGACAGAGGGGCGTGGCTCTGGCAGTGAGTCGGGGAGGGACTCAGTCAATGGGGCGGGGCGGGCGAGGCCTCGGGGCCCCGCCTCTGGCCGCAGGCGCGCCCGCCCCGCCTACCGGCTCCCCTCAGAGGTGGCCGCGGCCGAGCCCGGGGAGGGAGGGGAGAGCGGGTCACGACGCTGCGGGGGCGGGGATAACCCCTCACGTGGAGCAGATGAAAGGGCCGCGGCGCGACGGCCCCGGGAGCGGAGCAGAGACTGCGACCCACAAAGCCGCCGCCGCCGCGATGGTGCTGTGAGGCGACCGCCCGCGCTCGGTCCTCCGCCGGCCCGCGACTATGCCCGGCCGCGCCCGCCCTCCGCGCCCTCCCGCCGCAGGACCATGAGGCCACGCTCGGGCGGGCGCCCAGGGGCCCCGGGCCGCCGCCGCCGTCGCCTGCGCCGCGGCCCCCGCGGTCGCCGTCTGCCACCGCCGCCGCCGCTGCCGCTGCTTCTCGGGCTGCTGCTGGCGGCCGCGGGGCCCGGCGCGGCGCGGGCCAAGGAGACGGCGTTCGTGGAGGTGGTGCTGTTCGAGTCGAGCCCGAGCGGCGACTACACCACCCACACCACCGGCCTCACGGGCCGCTTCTCGCGGGCCGGGGCCATGCTCAGCGCCGAGGGCGAGATCGTGCAGGTAGCCGCTCGGCCCCGTGCTCCACCGCCACAAGATGGCTCCGGGGGCTGCGCCCGCCGACCCCGCCGCGGGCTAGCGGGCGGGCGGGGGGAGGCGGGGAGACCGGCGGCATCCCTCCCGGGCGGGCGGGCGGGCGGGCCGGCGGGCGGGCGGGCTGGACGCGGCCTCCGGCGCACGGCGGCTGGGGCGAGCGCACGTGGGGGCTCGGCCTCGGGTGGGTGCACCGTGCCGGGGTGGGGGTGGGGACTCTGAGCTGGGCATGGACCCGGGGGCGGCAACTCTTGAGTTGGCGGGACGTTCTTCTCGCTCAGGTGAAAGTCCCGGCAACTACCTGTTGAATGCCAACTTTGCAAGGGCGAGAGTTGAAGGATGGAGCGGCTTCTTAAAGGTCGCAGGCATTGCTTTCTATCTATGCTCGCTGTTGTTTTTTGGAGAGGCCAGGTTGCCAGGGTGCACATCCTCGGGGTGGGGTTTTTTTTTTTTTAAATGTTTTTATTCCGGCGGAATCTACCGTCAGCCTTACCTGGACACCAACTGTCTGGCAGAGCTCTGGACAGGCACCAGCAGGAATGGGAGCAGGCGGAGTTGGCTGACGAGTGGGAATTGGGGGTGCACTGTAGTGGCGGTGCAAGGCAGCGTGCCTCAGATTACAGGGGTTGAGAGAGACCGCAGGCTCGCCCCTGGGTCAAGGACTAATACCGAAGAGGCCTGCAAACCGGGGCCAGGGTCGCACATTGACAGGGCCTCTACCTTGCTCCAAATGAAAGAGGTCTGCGTTCCAAAGGAAGCTGGCTATGGAGAGTTTTAAGCTGTCCCCAGTCTTTGAGGAGGGACCCTAAACTGAAGCCTCTGCGGATGGGTAGCTGCATAGATTTCCCGCTTCCTTGACCATGATTTTTATCGACTTGTTCCAGGGCTAGCGCACTTGTGGCTGTTAGCAGGCGCACTTCTGGTGGGGGTGGTTTGATACGATTGGCTTGTCTTTTAATCTTTTGGGTCATAAAGGCCTGTAGTTTGGATCTTTGGTGCGTTGCTCTTGGGTGAATTAGAAAAGAAAAGGGACTGTGGAATGGCAGCTTTGAGTGTAGACAGCATCTTCCCTTGCCTCTTCCGGGTGCAGCTTCAGAGCTCTGAGTTGATAGGACATAGGCCAGTACAGTGTGGGTCCTTATAGGTGTGTGTCCTTCCAAAGCTAGAGGAAGTCCCTATGCCTGTAATTAAAAAGCATTGTCCTGCGGTGCTCTTTATTCTCATCTATATAGAAAGCGAAACACATGTTTGACCGATTTCTGTGATGTTACTAAATGTGCTGGGACTTTTTTCCTTATAGTTGTTACTGTCATTAAAATAAAAGCTTTAGAGAGGATGCTTTGCTGATGATTCCTAACATTCCTATTGTAGGCTTTAAGAATAGTTTGAATCTTAAATCTTGCTTGTGACTCAGTGTCTTTCTTTGAGGCTTCCACTATGCCCTGGTGGCTTTAGAAATGTTTGATTTACAGTCGGGGTGGGGTGGGGGTGGTGGTGGGGATGGTGGCAGCAACTGAGGGAGAGTATGTTTTAACGTGACACTTCACTTTTTGAAGGAGACTTTTGAAGTTTCAGATTTTTATCTGCAGTGTTTAAGTTTGAGCCATTTTTCATGGTAGTTTGGCAAGCAACCCATTATGCATAGTGCTGTGCTTTGCAAATATTCTTGGGTTCACCATTTAATACAAAATTAGCCATTTAAACACACCATTTGTAACTATTTTATCCTGCCTAGTAGAGAGATAATGTGTGAATTGGCAGGACTCTGTTCTCTTAAAGTTTTTGAAGTGCTTATCTAACTCTTTTGTAGTCTATTAGACTAGCACCTCCCTTCCAAATTAAGTCAACAATTGCTAAGGAAAAAAAGTGGCTTAAATGGTATTTAATAAGTTTAGCTGTTAAGCAATCACTAATGGTGTCCTTAATTCCCTTATAACTGCAGTAATATTGAGCTCTCTGAATGGTTAATACTTGGTCCACTCTATAGCTTTAATAACTTTGCTGTGGTCATCAACGTGTTGAACTCTGTGTCCATAGATGAGCAGAGTGTGATTTTAGAGCCGTGTTGTGTGTACACAGACTTCATGCTTTTATTTGTGAATACTGCCAGACTAAAGGAACTATTGTGGCTCCTGACTACGAGTCCTGAAATAAATTTGTAAGGAAGGTCAGTGTTTTAGGATTGCTGAGAAGGAATATAAGAGTGTGTGGTGAGAGCATAGAAGAAGCAAATAATTTTAGACTGTGTTTCCTAACTACTCATGTAGCATTGCTTTTGTTATTTCCAGTGTGGTTTTCTGGTAATATTGTTCTTAACTGGGAAGAGAGGGAAAAAACTGTTTGAAAGTTCCTCTTCTTTAAAAATTCTAAGATAAATGTTTTGTAGTACTGATTTTTTTTTTCTGTTTGCCAGTGAAAAGTGTGTGTGTGTGTGTGTGTGTGTGTGTGTGTGTGTGTGTACAATAGATATCTTATTAGCCTGACCATCCATCCCAGGACTTCTAGTTAGAATACCTGTTCAGCTTTTTGCATGAGTTAAGAGTGGGAGGAAGGCTGGATGTGTGTGCTCCTGTAGTAGTGAGGTTAATAATTCAGACCTTGGGATGAATGTTTTAGGCATAAATGTCTGTCTGTATGAAGGCAGGATTGTTTGTGTGTTTGAATTTTTTCCCCTATTTTGTTATCTCTGGTTGTGAACATTGTGGATAGAATATTTGGGTGTGAACTTAATTGCTTTTATTATCTTGCAGCATTATAGCCTGTTTGGGTCTAAGCAAATCAGTCATACAGCTAAGTGCTAGAAGAATTATACTTTAACTGTACTTCTGAAGTGTGGACCTTTAAAGAGCTTTTAGACATACTGGTACATATTTCATCTTTAAACCAATGTGCTGCTGTTAATGAAATTATTATCTGAATCTTTTAAACATGGCTGTGCAGCCCACATGGTTGGTGTTGTTAAGTAAGGGACCTGATTAAACACTAGTGGTTTGTGGATTGGCGGAACAAACATGAAAATTTGCATTGCTAGAAATGAAAGATCGTTTTAAAGTGGAAATGCCTCTTTCTTCCATTGAAGTTAAATATTAGAAATATGGAGAACTTCATTTGTAGAAGGAATTAGAATGATTGGTTCTGCACAACTTTAAAATCAGTTATTCTGGACCCCATGTTACATATGTCTGGTGGACATGAAGCTAAGGACATGAAGAACTAAGGAAATTCTTTTAGTTGTTAAGAGTGAAAGGGGAGCTGTGTGGTGATTAGATAGTCTGGGTACTAAAGGTATCACAGGGAATAATTGTAGGAGACTAATTCCTCTGCCTTGTTTCCCTGTCAGTGTGTTTTTACAGTTCAGCATTTGATCAAGCACTTTCTTTTCATCTCCATTTGAAGTTAACTTAATAGGCCTGCCTCCAAAAATTGACTTAGCCTAATAGAACAATTGCATGCTGACAGCTGACTTGGATTTACACAGAAAGGGCCTGCTGACCATTTTGTCAGATGGTCCTTTATAGGTTAAAAGCAAGCATTTCATTGGTGGGGGGTGGGTTTAGTAAATTCCTATGATTTCTTCTCTGGTCTTATACCCTGAGGTCTCATGGGAATTATCAGCAATTCTGACAGGGGATGGGAGTGTGGAGGAAGCAGCCTTAACTCCATTGATGAGCCTTATTTTGTGTGTGTAGGGGACTGTGCCAAGGACATTATGCTTGTTCATTTTGTCTTTCCACTCATACAGAAATAGATACTGTTGTTTAGTCTGTTTTACAGAGAAGAAACTGAGGCCAAGAGAGGCAAATTTGTTTCTTTAACCTGATAGCTAGCAAATGATAAAACCTGAATTGAAACCATGGCCTGTTCTTGTTCTTGTCAAGTAACTAAACTGGGTTTGTAAGGATTTTGACATTTGATGCAAAGCTAATCTTACATAATTTGCTATTGGAGTTCTTTTAGGCCTGTGGACCCCCCTCCCCCGAAATTATGCACACATTCTTGTGAATGGGTGTGTTCATTTTCCTGATAGCTTCTAGTACTTGTCTTTGACTAGTACAGGACAAAGAATTTGAGTGGAGGGCCTGAGAGATAGCTCATTGGATAAAGGTGCTTGCTGACAAACCTGAGGGCATAAATTTGATCCTCGAAACCCACATGGTAAAAGAGAACAGACTCCTGAAAGTTGTCTTGTGACCTCTGCCTAGACTCTGGCACACATGCCCTTCCTATAAATGTTTTTTAAAAAAATTGAGTGAGGTAATAGGTCACTCAGACTGGCAGGAGTTGGAGGGAAGCCTGCAGCTTTGTAAACCTCCATTGAGCAAATTTATTTGATAGATGTCTATCAGAACCCTTCCTTTTCAGATAACACTGCAGTGCTGCGGTTCACTGAGATAGACTTGTATACAGACAAGCAATAATCCTTCCCAACTGATTTTTTTTTCACAGAATTGAAACCTCATGCCCATAGGCATCTATATCTCAAACTGAATTTGTGTATCTATCTTCTGCTAGTTCTGTATCATCCTTGGGAAAGATAAAAAAGCAACCAATCAAAGAATTTTCTACATTTAGATGAAGTGCAAGAAGAGATGGAAATGAAAGATTTGAGATAAAGGATTGGACATATTTCCTTCTACCATTATTTAGACAGTGATGTGAAAGCGCTGCTGGTGTTGGAAGGTCTGTAAGAACAGCCCCTGCCTTCTGGTAAACCTAGTAGATCTTAGGGAGACAGGTCTGTTTGTTGATCATCCCATTGTTATAATACAAATTGTCTCTTTATAGGGTATTTGTATTCTGGAACATGGTATCTAGTATTAGAAAAGGTCTGAAGATATCTTCCTTGGTAGAACACTGAGCATTGAGAAGTCCCTTATGTGAAACAGGTGTTACAGATGAAATGATGTTTGAAATTCTAGTAGTCCTGGGAGTAACTGTGAGAATCTGTTATTCATAACCATTAACCGGTG